ATGGCCCTTCTTTTTTTTAACCATTTTGCTGTTGTCTAACTTGTGCCCTTTGGGTCACTGCCTCTCTTTGCAAGATAACGTGGTGGTTCAGTGGTTGCACTGCTGGTTTTACAGGAAAGTGTCCCAGGTCATGGTCTGCACTTGTTAGGTTGAGTTAGGCAGGCATAGTTCCTCCTGTGGGCGGAGCCTCGTCTTCCCGCTCTTAGGCCACCACACCTGTTGCTCACCTGCCGCCTCATTTAACTGAATTTTTGAACCAGCCTCTGCCTGGATAGTCTGTGTGGTAATTGCACTCCTCGAGTGTTCCTGACATTAATGTCTTTGTTTCCTTGCAATCCAGAGCTCTCTGTGTGGCCGAGGAGTGGCCTTCTCGCTGGATCTACTCTCTTGCTGAACCCAAGCTGGTTCATTCCGTCTGAAATCTCCCATTAGTTCACTCCCTGCCTTCATCCACCTACCTGCCCACCCTCCTGTCTCCTCCACTACCACCCTCAAGCAAACTAGTGCCGCTTACAGGAGTCTAAGCTTATTTTAGATGGCTAACCATCTAAAATAAGCTGTTCCTTACACATCTAATCTTTAAAAGGATCGGAAATTGTCACAACAGGTTACGATGGGGGAGATCTTAAAGGCGTGGTAGAATTGCTATGACTGCTTTTAATGTTGCTCTTTTAGTGATATGTTATTGCACATGACGCACATGTTAGTGTTCACTTATCTGTACTGAATATCAGTTGTGTTTTCTTATTATTGTATGTTGCAACATCTGCTGCCCTTTAGACCAGGTGTCTCTTAAAAAATACATTTTAATGTCAAGGAAGCTTTTATGTGGACAAATGAAAGATAATTACCCCAAAAACAAATTTAAAAAGATGAGATTGGAAGTGCTTTGTAAAAAGAAATCACTGAATCCACAGATCTCAGCCTTAGAAGGAGAAAGTGCCAGAGTCTGGCACACAGTGTTGCAAAATCTGTGTCCCTTTGGTGCTTGTCTAAAAAGTCAAAACCTGAATCTTAATCCTGAATTTTCTGTCTTGGCTTTTTCACGAGAAATGTTGAGGCAGTCCTAAAATAACACTTGTGCATTTGGACATAAAATTTAGCCCAGACTGGGAACCTCTCACCCAATGGCAGACAGGCTGGCTGATGGGGATAGGCTCACTAACCCCGAATTGTATAAGTGATGGACATTAAATGTAATTTCTTCCATTTAACTTTACCATCAGAAAGTGAAAACAGACATAAAGCGAATAAGAATGCAATTTGCAGAAATAATAAAGTGCAGTAATAAAGTTTTAAAAGGTTCAAGGTAGAATCTAGTGTTTTGCGCTATTATAAAATGTCACACCTCTTTAAGTGAATTTCTTACTCTAGAAGCACAAACTAAAAGGAAAAAGCAGCACAAAAAATGATTCTCCCTCCACCGTGCTCTCCTCACAAATGTTCTTTGGTCTCTTTTTGTCCTCTTTTTCAGAGAGATTAGCAGCAGACAGTAGGATTTGTAGACAGGTGCTGTTATTAGGACTGTTGAACACTCACTTTCTGTATTTTCTGTAGTCTTTTCCTCTTTTGCAGGGACTCGTCGATGGTCCTGTGAAAGTTTTTGCAATCCACATATGATCCACACCAGCCATTCATTGTAGAAAAGAGCAAACTTTGTCAGTAAACAGACTTGACCTTTTTTTTTTTAAAGTGGGATGATCTCTACAAACCACAGTTTTTTTTAATTATTGGATCACTGGACTCTCAGTAGCTTATGGAGGAGCTGTTTTTTCGGAATTCAGATACCTTTCCATGCATTGAAACATGAAAAGTAAATTATTTGTTTTTAATTTAGTTGAATTGTTCGTCTAGATTTGTGAATTCTGTGAAATTCCAGTAATCCCAAATGCTTCACAAACATTTTGTCCCAGTTGGATGCTGATTTAATGTCACAATATTGTGGCAATCCCTTTTGGCCTTGAATGATTAGCTGAGCGCAACTATGAAGAGGATGAAAAGTGGAAAGGTTTTTGGTGCAGTTGACATACCTTTAGAGGGATGAAGAATTTTAGGAGAGAGATCAGTGGACTTTCTAACCAGACTGTTTAAGACAATCTTGGAGAGTTAGGATGACTGAAGAATGGAGAAGACGTGCACTGACTGATGTGCAGACCTGTAGTAACTAAAGAGGGTTAGAGGGAAGTTGCTTAACCAAATCATGAAGCTGTGGGGAAGAGCTGTCGAAGCTAGGCTCAGAACAAAGGTGACAATCAGTGAATAGCAGTATGACTTCATACTAAAAAAAGAAAGAGTGTACAGATGTGATGTTTGCTTTGAGTTTGATGGGGAAGTATAAGAAAGTCAGAAGGAGCTGTGCTATATCTTTGTAGATGAAAGAAAGAGTATGATAGAGTACCAAGACAGGAAGTCAGGAGTGGCAGAGGAGTATGAGGACAGTGAGACAGTATGGAGGTGTGTGATGGGAGTGACAGACGGGTTCAAGGTGCTGCTGGTGGGATTAGACCTGCTCTGACCCCCTTCTTGTTTGCAGCGGTGATCGGCATACTGACAGTTAACGTCAGGCAGGATTATCTGTGGACTATGATATTTGTAGATTGTGATCTATAGTGAGATTAGGGGGCAGGTGGAAGAGAGGTTGCAGAGGCGGAGTTATGCACTGAAGACAGAATACATGTGTGTGAATGACACGGAGACCGATGGAAAGGTGAACATGTCAGGAGCAGAGATCTGTAAGCTAGATTTAAATCCCTGGGGTCAACCATCCAAGGCAATGAACAGCACACAGGAGAGGTGAAGAAGCAAGCATAGGTAGGATGTAGTAAGTGAAGCAAACTCAGAAAAGAATGAATACCTGTATGTCATCTCTGTTGCAGTGCAGACAAAATGTTTGTATGCAATGACAACTGTTCACTGTCACTAGGTGGCACTTATGTGTCACTAGATATTCTGGCCTTATGAATGGTTTACAGTCCGACTTAACTGGAGTGGATAATTATTACTAATATCAGTAACAGCTCTGTTCTCATAAAGTGTTAAGCTGAAACTGGCACGCCCGAGTAAAATCCAGAAATTGATTGTTAAACGTCTGAATTGCCACCATAAAAAGGCTGATCTGGCAATAAAAGAACACCCTCTGAGTCACCCTCTTACTGCCAACCGGCACTTTCCCGGTTTGTAGGAAGTAACTGTGGCTCACTTGTAATAACAGAAACACACAGATTTGAACAAACAGAGAAAAAAACATCACAATGCAGAAAGAACTCAGCAGTGAGGAGTGAAACATGGATTGGAAAACAGACTTTGTCCTCAGCTTCAACTAGTATTACAAGGCTGTTTCAAGCTTATTAATGACGCCTGGTTTGGCTTGAATTATGGTAGTATTAGCAAATATTGTATGGCCATCATGAAATTTCATGATTAAAAATGAGCAGCTTGTTGTGAAATGTCAAAATCCATTACACCAGTAGCATTTAACAAGTTTCACGTGTGTTTTCTATTTGACAGCTGCACATTATTCAGTTTCAGGAAACTTAAAAACGGCATCTGACAAGGGTGTGGCTGAAACTCAACACAAACCTGACCTCTTTTCCCCTCAGGAGACCCTGAATAGTACATTAAAAAATACTTTGATGTGTGTGAAGGGACTCATCCTCTTATTGTTGGCTACAAAGTAGGGCAGTGTTTGTTCTTCTTCTTCATGTGTTTGACACATATCAACCAGGACTGGCACACTTTTCAGGGACTCCAAAACATCAAGGGGTCCTTCAAGCTAGACGTCTGCCTTTGCATCTCCCACATTTTCCAAAATAAAATAGATATTTTTTGCTAATCCTGTAGTGAACATGTTTAAATTAACCCTCATTCACCATTTACCTTACAATTTCTATCTTTGAATTGCCACTCTACTGCCATGTGAACTATGTGGCACCAATAACAGCACAATACACTTGTTTATTGTTGTGCCCCAGCATTTATCTTCTTCTCAGTCTTGCCATCTTAATACAGAATCAGCTGGCTTCGCTCAGCATTTCAATGTATTTACTGTGAGCAGATCAATGTAAATATCGATAGCAATCCTGGTATTGGTATCAGATTGATACTAGTGCGATAAAATCGATACTGTCAAGAATCGGCTGTGCACAGCAGGCAGGAGAGGACCCAAACGCAGACTCGCAGATGGAACGTGAACTCAAAACAAACCTTTATTTGCTTAAAGGAAAGTAATACAAAACTATACTGGGAAATTATATGAACTGAACACACAGAGAGGCACACAGGGAAACACACAACCATTAGGGAAAGCGTGGAGACGCTGACAAAAATAATTTGCTGTATTGCACACCAATACCATGTGCACCAGTATTTCTGCCACCTGTCTGTATCTTTGAGAGAGAGAAATGCACACAATGAAACTCAGTGATGAAATGTTTGTACTTTGGAGCAAGCAAGCCCATTTTATCGCAATATTAAAGCAGCATTGGAGTATTGGAGTTAATGTGAGGTACAGGTTTCTATATGTTTGCGTTTAACTCTGCTCAAAGTATTTTGAAGAGGGAAGCTGGAAAAATGGGCCGGAGCCCTCAAAATCCCCTAACGGTATAAAAAATTGGATTGTAGAATACTATATATGCTTATGTTCAGTATATTTTTATAACTTTAACTAATTATAACTTCACAAATGCTTGCCCATTTAATTCCAGAGAGAATTGTTGCACTCTTTAATACAACATGACCAAGAAACAAAAACAACAAAAACACAGAAGAAGAAAAGGTGAATGTTTGAGCCTATAGTTCATTTCAGTCATTGGTTGTTTCAAAGAAAACTCCTACTGGAACGCCTTCACCGCTGAGTTATGCACTTTTCCCATGTTTTTTCTTTCTATGAATGGATTTCAGTAAAATGACCCTCAGGTGAGGCTGAGGCTCCGCCCCCAGCAGAGCGAACGCTCTGATTGGCTGGTTCGAACAGCGCTGCCCACAAACATCCAGCAGCAGTGGCGACTCTGGAGAAAATTAGTGGCGAGGAGTCAGACAAGTCAACATTTCCACAAGGAGTAGAAGTTTTTCGTCAAGAGTCTGCTTCCTGCTCAGCCGCTGGTAAGTCTGAAACTGTTACTTTCTTTGTCACAGGAAATGAATAAAAGAAGGAAAATGTATCTGAAAGTTTTCGCCTGTGCAGAGGTTGTCTGCGGGTCCTCCCGAAAATCTTTGAGGGAGCCTCGTGGACTGTGCTAACACGGTTCCGACTAAAGCGCCGTTATTTTTTTTCCAGAACCAGAGAATATAAACTGAATTATATACGGGTTTAATAGGTCTCTGAATTAAAATAAAAATATTCAGACGTGTTCCTGACTGTGTCTATTTTGTTTTGGTTTTTTTTGTTGTTGTTTTTAGAGAAAACTCTGTTTTTGAAGCACAGGTCAAGTTTGCTTTTAAAAGTTGGTTGCCTATTTTTTTTATTATTATTATCGTAGTTAACTGTTCTGTGGGACAGTTGCTTTTCTCTTCATACAGACTGTAATTATGTTTTGAGGCACTTTGCAAACCATTTCGCATCCTTGAACTGTAAAGATTCCTCTTGACAGGTCTGTGCGTGCTGCTGCGGTGTGTGTGGCGACGCCTCCCGTTATGGAGCAAGGCCAAATTTAGGGTGGGAATAAATAGTTAAGAGGATTAGCAGTTTACTAGTACATATCTAACCTAGGAGACTGTGTGTGTCGAGGTGTTGCAGGGGTAGAGGCTGAAGGCGATGATGTGTTTGTAGAGGAGGGTGGATCGATATCAACACCGGTGTTGGTATCGATACTAGCTTGATAGGATCGATACTTTGTTTCTGTCCTCTAATTCAGTATGTAGCCAGCTGACTTGTCTTACATAATTACATATCTTTAAAATATATTTTTTGGAAATGCAAAAATACACTTCAAACATACGTTATGTAAAATGTCTGAACTTTTTGTGTTAACTGTAAGTTCTGTTTTATTTTTAGCCTGTAGCACGTTTAGACATAAGACGTTGATCCAAAAATGTGTGCAGAATTTGGTGAACCTGGCCCTGTATTTATTTTATATTGGATCGATACCAACATTTGCAGTATCGCACAGCATTATGTGTTTGTTGACAGTAGAGTAATATAAAGAGTAGGTTAGATTAGCGGCTCTCATGCAGCTGTTTTTTGGATCAAAGAGCGCCCGCTGTGCCCACACAGTGAAGAGGGAGTACTTTTACATGAAGTCTCGGGTCCTTGACAATCCTCCTTTCCTGCTGGAGGAAGAGGGATGAAGTAAAAGACCCGCAGGTGCTTCCTGCAAAGAGTGTAACAAAAGGGAAGGACCATTCACACATTGCCCCATAGGTGCTGGCAATCAGTTCATGGTTGTTTATTTTTGTCTCACAACAAGAAGACTTTTTTCTTTTTTCCCCTGCTGCCTTTAGCTCGTCAGCCTCAATAACAAAAAAGAAAATGAATATTTTAGCATTTTATAGACAGATCCTATATAGTACATCATATCTGTTAATCTCACCATAATTGCTGGGTGTGAACATGCCGCTGGTTTGACCTGCACAGTCCGTTTAGAAAGTGACTTCGATCATTAGGATTAGCATCAGTGATCAGGTTAATGTACTTGTTGTGCCATGTTTAGCTCTATTCACACTGCTGCTATTCTTAGATGCCCAGATGAAATCCTGTTATCAGGCTGGACTTTATCCAGCATCTGAAAGTTGAGCCACGCAATCCAACTGTTAATGTAGTGCTTGTTTCAAACAAACAAACAAAGGGCTTCTATTTTTTTGCTCCTTGTTGGACTTGTTGAAACCATTACTGTTCTTGTTAGCTGAAGTCTGTATAGTTGTCATCATTGGTGCACCACGTTAATGAAGGGGGGAAAAAAAGTAATAGTTTTATCTCAATTTTGTTCTTTTCACAATCATTGGGGGCATTACCATTAGGCTTACCATTAATCACATCGTTATTATGGTTCGGCTTACCATATTCTTATACCAGCGCTAATGCTGAGTTTGGGTTTTTTTTTTTTTGTTTGTTTGTTTGTTTTTTTGGTTCTTTTTTAGGTTGTGACAAGTCCACACCATCCGAGGCTGACCTGTAGCTCTCGCTGTCAGACGTTCCTGGGCTTATCTTGTAGCTGGGTGTGCTAAGAAAACATAAATGCACGGTGTCACTGATAACGAAATGGAACACTTTTCTATCTCATAAAAATTCATACCTGTGTTTATCATTATTATGGAAAATGTGATATGCCCCACCCCTACCATAATCTAAGCTTTGGTATACTCTGCTGGAGGAGACCAAAAGGAAGCAAAAAGGAGACTGATGACTACATTTGTTTGCAAGGTGGTCTCAAACACAAATCCAGATAATTTCTAATGTTGATTTATGTTTGATAAATGTGTAAATATTCAAATGTTTGAAAATGCGTATATGAGTGGTGTGTTCACAGGTTTCTTTGCTGAAAAATTGCTAATCCACAATTAAATGGCTGGTTTTTGAAGTCCTCTAGAACAGAGGTCTAGAGGCCCAGAGGTCCGTGAGTCGTTTGGTACCGGACCGTAAGAGTTGAGGCTCAGGTGTGAAATTTATGGTTTTCAGGGTTTTTATTGGTTTTAAACAATAAAAACAATTTATTTATTTTTTTAAAATTGTTTTTATCATTAACTCCGTTTCCCTGGAGCTTTTCCCGTGTGTTATGAATGAATCTTCCCTTTTTGGTACCGGTACTGGTTTTATTTTGTTGTATTTATTTGAGACACCTTATAGGCTGGTTTTGTTGAACTTGTTGACTACTTTTTTCTTTTTTTTTTTTTTATTAAATTTGATTCCCTTGGCACTGTGCTCTCATCTAGACTGTAATCTGTCTCCAGATTGACAACAATACAGTGGCTCACTTTGTTTCAGACATGGCTGTCGTTGGCCTGCTCTTGATAATTGAGTGCACACATGAGCAGCAACCTCATTTCCAGCTATCTTCATAATCACCATCTGCTTGATCTTTGGCATCAGGCCTCATGTTTTGGACCTGCCAAGGCTCCCTGAAGCCCCTCATCCCCTTCCTGTAAGCTATATCCTAAATAAATGAGGGCTAATCCAAGATTTCATTACCATCTCTATTGTGTCCACACATGCAGCATCTCAGCCCATATGTGCCCACAGCATGTTTAACTCATTAAGGCCTGCTTTGTCTTGTGTGTGAATTTTAAAAAAAAAACCCAAAAAAACAAAAAGTAAGGGATGCTGATGCTTGATAGGTGGAGGTCTGTAAATGGTGCAGAGCGCAGCTGACATGCATGCATTATTCATAGGTGGTGTTTAATATCCAGAGTCGTTCAGTTGTGCAGTAATTGGAATGGTGGTGGGATCAGCTGGAGCAGCAGTTAAACCATTAGTGTCTACAAGAAGAACTCATTAATGATTGTCTTCAGATCTATTAAAAATCTACAACTACTTGGTCCTCGGTTGAGGAATTATTAAATAATATTGTTTGTAACCTGCCGCTCTCTAAAAACATTTAATTCCCAATTACTTTGTTTGCAATTGGTAGTAATCAGCCGCCCCTTCTTTAAGCCTCTTGCAGTTTTAGTGGGTGCAGCGTAGCTCAATGTGAACTTTTGCTACGCCTGCTGCACGCTCTGATTAAACGCAGGGCCCGCTGGTATTACTGCTTTCTAGCATGTGAACTGTCTGAACAAGGATGATCATTTGTTAGTAAGTCTGTTTTTTTCAGATAACAAAAATTGTCTTGTTTCAGTTGCGCCATTTGGGGCTCACGTAAAAATTTAACTTGGTGTGAGTTATCTGGCTTGGGACGGGCAGTAGGAGTGTCGGGGCTGGTGACCCAGTGGGCAGGCTTATATAATATAACTGTAGGGAACACAGACTTTGAAAAGGTGCATGTTTATGATTTATCTGAGAGGGAACTTTAGATTTGTGGTTGGTTTTTGGTTAAAACTGTGTACATACTATAGAAATCTGGAACATTCAGCACTCTGAACTAGCTGAACTCAATCATTTCACGATTTCACAGTTGAGTTAAGCTCATTTGGCTAGTTCTTTTTTTTTTTTTTTTTAAGGATCAGCTGACTGATTCAGCTGTAAATAAACTTTTTGTTTAATGTATAAATTAATGTATAAACATTTAAATACACTATAAAATGTGTTGTAGGCAAATCCTCTTGCATTCAGATGCTGTAGCTGCTTCTTTTGGGGTTTTTTTTTCCCCCCTCCTGATCAGTCCTTCCACCTCATCTTGGCACCAGTGAGGCTCATTGTGTTAAAGGTGCCCCAGATTTTAAAAGTTTCATGCCCTCTTAAACTGATTTGTTACTGAACAAAAATGTGGCTAATAAGGCTGAGCTCAACAACCACCCGACCTTTTACATCTCTCTGGCCTGACTCTGTGAAGAATTGATAATGGCCAAGATGGATGTTTTGGGCTATAGGGACTTATCTGAACTGACCCTGATAAGACCTGTAGCATAGCAACACTGAGGCTCTGTGTGTGATTATTGACAGATGTCGGACACGGCAAAAGATAATGTCCGTGTGCCTGATTTTTCATATTATCAGTAAGGAAAACGATTAACTAACATGTTTACAGTGGAAAAGCATAGTCTGAGTCTGGCCACATTTCTGCAACTTTTTCCTTCCAGGTTTAACTTTCAGTACACAACGTCACATCCCAGGTCACTATTAATTCAATGAACTCATGGTGTTGTGCTTGTTCTAGCATTCACTAATAAATCTGTTTGGCTCTATTCTTCAACTGTGGTTGAATTGAAGAGGTCAGTGTAGTTGGTGTACACGTGAGGTCAGCAGACACAGCTCAGAGTAGGGATCTTGCCAAGTGTGGTGCATTTTAAGTGTTACCTTGCCTTGTCAAACACTGGTGATTGACGCAGCCAACTGACGGCTGATGTCACACAGGAACTTAACTAAAAAAAACAAAACAAAGTCGACTGTGAAATTGGGGGAAAATGTCTGTTTGAACTGATGTTTGAAGCTTTGCAGCTGGTGTAGAACTTGGTTAGAGAGGGGGCTTGTTGCATTTTGGTGAAATCGGAGTCTTGACCAAGAAATATTT